ACTATTCTCAAAAACCAAACGCTCATTCGAATACTCCTTCCTAATTTTACGTACTGATCGATCGGAACTTGAAAAAAAATAGCCCTCGTACCTACCTGTAGAAGACAAACTTCACGAGTTCGCGAGTTTACTTAGCAATTCAAAATGTTGCTTTCAAAAAGGAAAAGAAGTCCAATCCCTTTTTATTGCAATAGTGAAAAACCGATTTCCCATTAGCAAGTTTTGTAGCAATAAGGCCAATTATCTTAGCAAAAATCGCAACCGCTCTAATAGTTTAACTACAGTTGGGTACTTACGTGACAGTAAGCCGGAAAGTTATCGTGCAGTTTCCTCACCTGAAACAAAAAAATAAATATGAAAAAGATAATTTCCGGAATCAGAACGAAGTTGACAATAGTTATTGATTGAGCACTTTTACCTCATAACTTTATAATTAGATTAGCCGTAAGTAAAGCTGCTGTCTTTGTGAAAAGCTAAGAAGCTTTTAATCCCCATTTGGTAGAGTGTTTAACTTACATTTTGACATCTAAACCAAGTACATTAAACAAGGATTAATGGCTTTATAATTTGCTTAATAGCAACGTTTGAAATTCGCAAACTTAAATGGACTTGAAGACAAACGTACACGATATTAATTACAAGGGCATATAATATTAGTTTCACTCTAACAAGGGCCTTTCGTTTATTTCTGATAATTCGTCGGGTTAATTGGTTCATGAAATATTTTGTGTGCCCTAATTGTCCGGGGATAAATATGTTTGATGTGCCTTTGCTCGTCAGGATGTAATTCTTGAAACGGAACGAGCAAAACAATAATTTCTGTGCGAAACTCCATGTTCCCTAAGGATCTTGTATGTTTTTTATGGTACCTATCGATTGTTTCCCATAAATTTGATTTTTGGCATGAGAAAAGTATGCAAGGTGGATTTAAAGTTAACGGGATTTGTGTATTTGCACATACTCAGTACAAGGTCTGTACATTTTTGACGCATAATTTTTTTTAATCCTCATTCCTCTAAGTTTCTGAGTTTTTTCTTTTCTTATCGTTCTTTCTTTTGGATTACCTTTTACGTTGTATCTACTACTTACACAGTACGCGAATGACATCTTATTAGAATTGATTTTGGCGAACGTCACGCGACGGATGAGTTTCTACGTTACCGGCTTGTAAAATTCTTCTTAATTCTACCTGCATTAACCAGGCGAACCTACTTCATTCTACCAACATCACTACCTACTTCAAAATTTGTATTTGGAGATTTCGATATTGTTCCTGAATTGCAACCGCAAGTATTAACGAAACTTTTGGAAATAATCGATCTTGTAAATTGGTCCGTGTCTAATTTTACTTACGCTGCTGCTGTCGGTGCCGAAGACCCGATTTGATCTATATTACCTACGATTACTCCGAAGATCAATTTGTACTAGCTTAACTAAGTTTCATATCCTTTATATTAGTTTGTTATACCAATATTAGCTACCGTTGCTGTGGAAAGACTTGTTCCGAAGCCGATATCTATTATTTTTAGTTAACGTTATCTGTTTTACTCCGAAAAAGTTGATCTTACCTGTATTATGTTATTTATATTGTTATATTGCTTTGGCACGCTATTAACTATCCCCCTTGTTTGTTTATTTGTGTTGTTATAGTTACAGATTGGCACAACGCACCCTTTTGAGCTCACAATGTTGCTGCCTGAAGTTCAAAGATAATTCTCCTTGAAGATGAGCAACATTCCGGAGTCTTCAATGAAGTCGACGCCTGATAAGGTTCGTGTATGCGCTTCAGGTAACACAAAACTTGGTTTGTGTCAACATTAGTTTTTAACTAAGTATCTGTATCTATATGTAAATATACTGTAGGAGTAGTTCAGACCTCGGATAGACAAACGGACGGACAGAGAAGGTAGCCATAATAGCACCTTCCAACATGAATTGGAAACTGCACTAAAAGAAGAAGGTGTCGTTTATCTTACTATCAACTTGTGACAAACAAGAGCTTCATTTTATTGAATTTCATAGTAAAGGTTGGACATTTGGGATAGAGATGTGAGGCACAACAAGCAATGCTAATCTGGAAGTCTTGCAACGCTTTCACAATAAAATATTACGAACAATAGTGAATCTGTAGATCTTGTAGATTCTGTAGTTTCAATAGATTTTGTATTTCTGGAAAACCCAGTAATTTCTACAGAGGCAGTGTTGATAAGAGGGAAGTTAGTAATAAAACTTCAAAAATTCATTTCTCTCGAAGGGATGGTGCTGCTGACCTGAAATTTGAAACAGGATGAGGTAGGATGCTAGCAGCACTAGCAGGATAAGGTTTGAGTGATCCTGCTCCCAATGTGTTGGAAATACAATTGTTCTTAACAAAAATTGAAGACCATAAAATAATTACATCTTTAAAATCCCAGAACTTTTGTCAAATTTAAACGGTTATCTAGAAAAATTAGACCTTTAAATTAACAGATGTCATTTAATATTAATCTCCTATAGTGCAGGGGTTAAGAGCCAAAATAGGTTTCAACCTTGCATTTTGTGATAACTTTATGAAACTTTCAGAGGATGTTCTAGACACCCTAAGGTTCAATTTCAGCTATGCCGCCACCCCCGCAACCCCGGACGGCACTTGCTATAGCGGGTTTCTTAAGCGCAGGGTAGCATTTCAATACCCGCCCATATAATGGGTCAAAAATGTATGTCCAGGGTTTGTTTTGTATTTTCTTACATCTAGGAAGATTGAAGGGAATTATCAAATACCCAGGGAGAATTTATTTAGGGTATTTTACGTGGTTTGCCCATTTTTAAGGCGCTTTTAACAGTGCGGACTGGGGAATGCAATCCCGCAGCAAAATCTCAATCCCGGTATTTGCGGGATTGTTAGTTGTTAATCCCGCGGGATCCCGGTATTTGCGGATCTCGCAAAACTTTAAATAAATTGGCAAATAAGCAATTCTGTTCGGTTAACTTCTGTATTAAAATAAATCGCTAATTATCACAATATTTAACAAAAAAGTACCTTCGGCCTAACTTAGAACTCAAAAAAACCTTACCTGTAAAGCACAAAAGTCTTCTAAAGTGCCTCAAAAATCATAGTACATTTTTAACGAAAAAAGTTTAACAATTATTTAAAAAATAATTCGCCGTTATCAGTTTCATTAACAAAGTAAACAGAGTCGACAAATTCCTCAGTCCCGCAAATCCCGCGGGATCCCGCTCCATTTATGTGCGGGATTAATCATTAATCTCGTAAAAATGCTGCGGAATCCCGGGCACCGAATTGTGCGACTGCGAAGGCGAGTGTTCTCAAGATAGGGTTCAATAATTTTAGTGCTGTAGTTATCGTTAACTTTCCTTTCAGTATTGTAAAGTCTCAATAAATACTTTAGAGCATAGTATAACATTCAATAGAGCAGCCAAAAGAGGTCTCCGTCACGATTTTAATGCCCGCACTGTTAAAAGCGCCTTAAAAATAGGTAAACCACGTAAAATACCCTACATAAATTCTCCCAGGGTATTTGACAATTCCCTTCAACCTTCCTAGATGTAAGAAAGTACACAACAAACCCTGGATATACATTTTTGACTCATTTTATGGGCGGGTATTGAAATGCTACCTTGCACTTAAGAAACCCGCTAGAGCAAGTGCCGTCCGGAGTTGCGGGGGTGGCGGCATAGCTGTAATTGAACCTTAGGGTGTCTAGAACATCCTCTGAAAGTTTCATAAAGTTTTCACAAAATGCAAGGTTGAAACCTATAACCCCCGCACTAAAAATATAATATAATATAATAAAATATAATAATGGAATTCCGTATTCCACAGTTATTCCCGTTTCATCTTTATCTTCCTCGGAAAGCTGAACAGATTTAATCAAATCTATGGTGTACAAGATTCAAAAATTCATTTCAAGGAAAATGAACCTAATAAACCACATGGTCTAAAGTTCAAATCAAATTAGAGATACTTTGAAAATAAATTAGTTTCCATGAAACAGTAGAGCAATGAAGCCAAGTCGTAAAAACGATTAAACTTTTATGATCAACAATATTGCAATCAAAATTTCTAAATGACTCACGTTCAAAATCGGAAACTTTAACCAGTTCAGTGAAGCAACTCCCCTAACATAAAAACGAAGAGGATTTTCAAATCGTTATGAGTAAGTCGATGCCAACAGGAATAAATAATAACGTGACATTGAATAATATGTTCTTCAAACGGAAGTTGAGGTTAACTATCGGATAAAATGGATAACATTCGCGTCGCAAAAGTGTCACAGAGATAGTACAACCCCGTGTAAATATTAGCACATTCGTGACAACTTCAATAGAATACAGATAAAAATAGACTATTTTTAGAGCCAGCCAGATCACGTATTACTCATCTTCATTGACTGACACTTTTTCAATAAGTTCGCTTTTAAGTTTCCCAGGCCCCAATTTCCTATCGTGCTAGCAATTTATTGAGTAGCTGTAAGGATGGGAATCCCCATGAGTACTAACCGTATATGATTCCATATTTATCTAAGCCAAAGTGCACTTGAATTTGTACGTATGTGTCAACAGTGATCTAAGCTAAGCCGCTAAAATGTTCTAAATATGTGGAACGTGATATCATAAGGTGTTTGGCCTTAGCCGCACGGAACTTATCATTTTATGATGAATAACTCATTGGGTTATAGACGGCTAGAAATAGCAGTAATTTGTCAATGTCATTTTGACTGTGGCCTTCATTTTTGTACAGTACGTTGACTTTCCTCTAATTTCATCCACATTTCATTAAAAAATATATCGTAAAAAAAGGTATACCGGGGAAAAATATTCTTGGGAGAAACTGGTTGTCACTTTTAAAAAACATTAGGTAAGGTTTTCTGTGCCAACCACGATCTACTACCTTGTTGGCAAACCTGATTTTCAAATAAGTGCCAACCATAGGAAAGCTACTAGTAAAATAGTACATGAATTTGAAATGTTATATTGAACGTAAATACTAAATAGAAAATTTAAATTAATTCTTCTTCAATCCAGATTAGTACGTCAATGGCGCCTTCTGGAAGCTTAGGCCATTCTGTAGGTAATGTAGGAGCGTTGATGATATTTAGCGGTTTGTCATTCAATTCTTGATATTCCACAAAAATTAATGCTAAAAATAAAAGTTCGTTGAATAATGAATACTATCAGCTATCAAAGTTTATCACCTTCCAATGCATAATCAAAGTACTCTGAATCGTCAGTAGTAGCCATAGGTTGAGTTGGTAAATGCCAAATTTCATCGTCAGTTGCCACGGTTCTATAAGTAAGTACAATTATTGATTAAAAAAATAGTTTTTCAAGTACACTTACGATTTGCTGCACTCGTTACTTAACATTGTTGTGATTACTAGCAAACTTTTGTAACTTATAACTGGGTTGATCTGTTCATTACGCATTTATAGCACTTACTACACTGCAAAGTAGGTAATTAAAATTTCCAATTTAGTAATATGGCAACGTTCTCTTAGGTCATATTAAAATATTATTAATTTTGCATTATTAGAAATAGTAGTTAATTGACAATTCAGTAATTGTGCAAATTAGACGAATGTTTCGTATAGATTTCGAATTTTGAATTCCTAGATGTTCGTGTGAGAAATAACGAATTTCAAATAGTAAGTTAGAAATCTATGTTAACAAATAAGTGTTTGTAAATAACTATTATTTTCGTAATATGGTATAAACTTGTGTGTCTTGCTCGCATGGAAGTAAGTATAAAAAAGAATGTATCCTAGAACTATAAATTGTCACAATAGGGTACCTCCTACTTTTTTCAGGAAATGTAAATGAATATAATCGTCTACATTTAGTTTTCTATTTTTCCAGTAGGTATAAAATCTAAACACACTTATGCAAAATAAAAAATGTAAACAGCAAATTAAAACATTATTCAGACGTTTATAAATATGCAATTAAGTAATTATTTATATTTTTATTTCAGGTGAGTTTCCAGTCTTCCTAATAATTGATGTCCATTGAGTAAATGTAAGTACATTTGTTTAATTCTTTAAAAATATATGTAAAATCACGCAACTTAAAAACCTTAAAAACCCTTTCACCGACTCAAGATGTATAAAGCAAATCGCAGGGATTAAAATTTTATTAGTCTTCGTTAAATTACGAGAAAATTTACAAAACTAAGTTTATGAATCGCTTTCTTCCGTGGGAATCTTATATTGGTTAAAGTTGGACAAAGGTGGTATATTTAATTCCGAATTTAAAAAGGAAAACAATTTTATACTCTCTTTTAGTGTTCATTTAGATTGAATAAGATTAATTTTTTGTTTTACAACAAAACTAGTTACAATTTAACGGTCCGACCACGGTATAAACTTATTTTTTCGTTATGGAGACTGATTGCCACTGTAGAGCAAATACATAGCATTTCGTTCTTGTCTGTATCCAAGATAAGGATGTCTATCATTTGGGTCTCGGAAACCATAAAAGATGGCCAAAGAAACGTTGTATTTAAATGCAGTATGTTAGTGTTTTTTTTTATGTTAAATATTTGTTCAAATGACATCAGACAAAAGTATCGGAATTTTCTGGTTTTCTTTACAGTATGATAACTCTTTAATTGTGCAACTTTTCCCTAATTGACCATCGTCGTATCATCAATGATTTCCCAGATCCGCATGATAGACTTCCTTATCTTGGACACGTTGTATAACGGTATATATCGAAATATAGAAACAGTTGTATAAATTGACGGTTATCAAGAACAATAGTTATTTCATAAATCAATTCAGTTCATAAATTTACTAGTTTGCAATCAATATGGGGGTGCAAATAAATGTGTTTGCGTTTACAGCAATAATGCCAAAAACGCTAAACGTCAAACAATTGAAGGAGTGGTGTGTAGATATTATTAAAATAATCGAGCGTGTTAAATTAATTCCTCATTCAGTGATAATTGCTGTTAACAAGTGTATATTCAATGCTAATTGACTATGTATAGTTTCACGCTTAATTAGAGTTTTATTTGCCCTAGAAGTAGGTGAATGTTGTCATTAGAGTGTTTCCTATCTATTTCGAGGGAAGGCCAAAGGCGATTACCTATGAAATCAAAGATAGTAAGCATAAGCATAATCCTCTCAAACGATAAGCGAGTTTTCAGCTCAAACTAGGTTTTCCAAGTTTTTAAATGTTTACACTCGTGTTTACGAGATAAATTTCGTTTTGGCGTGCAGAGAGCAGTCAGATTTCCGAAATTCATTTCAAGAACCAGTCTACAAAATCATATTGAAGTACAGAGTGTTTCATTAGTGAAAATGAGCTTAAGCTTAAGCGTGCGCAGACATAATATTCAAGCTTTTAGTGACCACGAGCCATTGAGCCAGGAATAGTAAAGTAACTGTTCTTCACTTATGGTTTGATGTATTTATTTTTACTTACGTAAAGTATATAGCTACTCTAGTTCGTAAATTACAAAGGGTATGAATATTACCATTTACTATAACTTTTTGTCGTTGTGCATAAAAACCATGAATTTCTGCTGCAATTGAAGCTTTCCCAACAATTAATATCTTAAAATTCTGGCGAATTTGTGTATACTTGCTGTAACAATTGCCTCTGTGTAGATCAAACAGAAACAAAAAATAGCAAATGAAAGTATTTGTCAATTGTTTGTGCTCGTATGCTGGTGAGCTAACGGACTAAATGAGCTTTTATTGATTTCAGCCCTTCCGCAAAACTTCACTAACACTCACGGAGAGATCAGTTTTATGGTGGGGAATGTATTGTGGTCCATTATTATACTAAACCGTGCTAGTCGTATAAATCAACACTATTAGTAATTTTAGTATAACATCATATTTACCTAGATGACACTATACTAGATCGATCACAAAGGAGCGTATATTAGGTGGATGTTTTACCTAACTTTAATTTGGAGATATGAATTGGAACGATGCAATATTACAAACCTTTTGTTCCGGAGACCATCGTCCTTTAACATGTCTTGGAAATTGAAAAAAAACTGACTCATTTTTCCCTTTACTGCTAAAATATTCAGCTCCTCTATCTCATATTAGACCTGGAAGCAGCTTCCTTAGTGCTAATAACAAAAAAACACATTTAGATCTCAAATGTAACTAAAATACTGTAGGTGCCGACTCATTTAACCAATCGTTACCGTCATAAATTGGTAGTGACCCATAACGTTAAATAGGTACTGACGTTAACAACTTTATATGTACCGTAATGTAGTTAACTTCAACCCTTTCCATCTCTCGTACAATGCAGATGTTGCAAATTTGTGCTACATGAAATCACTACTGAATTATTACGAAAATTAGTATACGCGTAATGCATGCAGAAATAAAAGCGACCTAGTGTACTATGAAAACATTTTGAGAATTCTACGTTTACATTAGAAAATTGTTTGTCGAAGGTCAGTAGAGTGGAAATAGGTATTTATGGCACCCTATGGAATTTCTATGTAACACCTCCGTAGCTCCATATCATGGGATGTACAAACGAGCATCTTTCAGTACATATAACATGTAAAATTAGGTATAAATATAATGAACGGCATTGAAATATAAGAATCGTTTGATAAGTCTCCTATTTAGTTGAGGCAGGTGAAAACTACATTTTTGTAAGGTTTCTTCATAGAATATCAAGCATATGGGATCATTGTTTTGTTTTGACAGTCACTAGAATTTGAGAAAGTTGGAATTCGGAATCTGATACCTTTTCTATTTAGAGAAGATGTCGGCAACGAAAATTCCCGTCGTGTTTCAACCCTTCGTACGAAACGGTTCGTAAGTGGGTGAACGAGCTTAAAATGGGCAGAGTGAGCCTTTCCGACGTACTGTGTCGCAAAGGCTTATTAAACGACACTCGTATATAATACGCATCGAAGGTATTTCAATGAAGGTAATAACTGATAAAAGAGCTACCGTATGCAATACCAAGCTACGCCCTACAAATAAAAAGAAAAATTCATTGATTTATTTACAAAAAAAAACAGTCTTGTTTTACTTTAGGGCCCTTTTATGATTTCTTAATCATCATTCACGTATACATCTCGTAAAATCTTCAAAGGGGTTTTCATCCAATATTTAGCTTCAGAAATTGTACGTTTTATGAAACCTCGCCCTCGTGTTGTGACACGGGCGAGATTTTCAAATATCCGATGCTACAAGCGAAACCATTAAGGATAATTAGGTCAAAATTTTGAATGAAAATGTCGTTTGCAAATGAATTTCGTTAATGGCGCCTAATTTGTCGTGAAAATCTGATGTCCCAGTTCTGTAGCTTTTTACGTTATGTACGTTGTAAAGAAGTTTATTATCCTTTTCAGGGAATTCCGTCATCTAAAATTAATTATTAATACAGACTTTTCAAGGGTAAATTTATATGATTTAACCTTACGAATTGTGTGCAGTAATGGTTGTCACCAGATTCTGAGTTGTAAACTTTGACCTCTTGTGTGATTAATCTTTATTGTCGCGAGTATAATACATGGGGTGCTTTATGGGCCATTTAGATGACAGGAAATGTCGATTTGGTGCTTGTTTGCTCTCATAAGTGTCCAATAAATGTCATTTTTTTACATGAAAACACTATTTTTCAGAATGATTTCTAAGGTTTAGCTACTGTATAATGGAAATAGACAAATTGAGATTGTTGCAAATGTATAAATGCGCGAAGCAAAATATCTAATAGAAAGGAACCAAAAAAAAGCATAAACTCGTTTCGCCAACAAGGCTGTCTTCATCAGCTAGACTCCGTAAAATGAATGAATTGCAATAACGTAGTAGCGTTTATATTAATGCTGACCCTGAGGGTATACATATACAGTATGCCCCTGGATTGAGTTTATGATTGATTAAAAATTGTCGAATTGGAATTTCATATTTTGGCATTCCGCCCTGCTTGACGTGAAATTTATTTTTAGTTTACTTTCGATTTATTAAAGTCATGTAGGCATTTACAGTTGAACAAACACTATTTTAGGTATACGTAAACTACCATTTCCGTTCGTAGTGCGCCAAAGTGTTACTAAGAAAAGTTATTCAGAATGAAAAGTTATGGCGTTATGCAAATATCGGCCTACTCTGATAAAATCCATTCTTTATATAGAGTTATTCGTACATATTTCTTTTGTTTTTGTGATGCATGTTTCTTTAAAGTCAAGCTGACGACACAAAGTTGACACATAACGAATTTGAAAATGAAGTTGACACAAAATGAAACTGATCAATACAGGATTTTATCCAAGTAGGCCGATCATTCTTAAAATTTTCATCACACCATAACTTTTCATTCTGAACAACAAAAATTCACTTTTTTTTTGTTTCTGGTCCCTATACCAGTAATGACAAGTTTCAAGAAACGGGCTTCATTTTTAATCGATGCATTTTGCTCTTCTTTAAGGGTTTTTGGAACCATTTTCGCAAAGATTTTTCCTATCTCCAATCCATTAGAGTTTTATGAATGGGTTGT